GAATATTTTCTGGAAAGAAATAGAAGTCTCATTTTTTTTTCTCTTTTTTCCACCTTATTCTGCCTGCACTTATTTGTATGAAAGAACTGGCATATCAGTGGAGAGCCTGGTATATTTATGTAAGAAAAGAGAATTTTAGCAAATAGAAGATTTTGTGCAAAATATAGACAAATATAACTAACTTCTAGTTGATTTTGCTTCTGCATTCAATTTGTATTTTTGCAGAGCTTCAATTTTATTCCAGAAATATAGACTCTGTGCAATTAATTAACTTGAATTATGTAGTATAATGGAAAGAAATAGAGAATAACTGTGTTGTTCCCATCAACATAATATTTCCTGCTTAAATATTTAGAATATTTTTTTGTAAACATCAGGTATGAATTTTCAAATAGCATTCTCTTTACATGCTGTTTAAAAATACACTGTTATGAGCAAAATAGAACTTTTGAAATTCCCATGGTTAATTTAATCAAGCAATTATTTACCATGCCAACAGCGGAAATATGTTATAAATGTGATTTGTTGTTGTTTTGCTTTAGTGTAATAGTAGTTTCAAAGTAAAGATTTAGGTCTTAAAAATTTCACTTTAAATTTTTTAGACTCATTCTTTGCTTTTGATTTTCTATTTTTTAGGCAAAGTTAAGAAAATGTACTTTGTGCAGAAGAATATATATAGCAGGCTCTTTATTTAATAGAGAAAGAGTTATAAGGATATATTGAGCAAATATTATAAGGAAAGCATTCTAAAAGGAAAAAAAGTCTTATTTTTTAAGTTTTTACTCAGTTTATTATTTTTGGGGGGTTTTGTGATAGTTCTATAATGGTGTAAGGCAATTACTTTTTTGGCATTGCAGACTGGGAAATCAGTAAATATATAGTAGATTTAAAAGGCCCAGTTTCTCAATGTCAGAAAATTGTCAGAAGAAGGAATTACAAATAAGGAAGGAGAAAAGAGTTGCATAAACCCTGTGGTCACTGAAGAGTAGAGGGGTTAGCAGGTGTCTGGACTCACGGGTTTTGTCCGGTATGTGTATAGATATAAAATAGGTAAGAATGTGCATATGTACAGGTCAGAAATTATATATGTACATTCTTGTGTGTTGTATTTCATGTTTTTTCACTTTATACACCAAGAAATTAATATGCAAAGATATGCCAATGGCAATAAACACATATTCTCTTAAATTTTATACCTATTCAAGAAAATAAATTTAGTCAACACAAGGTGTTAATGGTTACATGAATATTATTGTGCTTGAGCAACTTGTGGTAAAATAATTTTGGAAGATAAAGGATCATGCATTGCCAGGGATTCCTGAAAAACAAGAATACACTTAAGAGTTTGTACTTGAATAAATGGTAAACACGTGAGTGAAACCTAATTAGAGACTATGTTCATATAAGCAAAGATGAAATGTATATATACACACATATGCATACATAATATTGTATTTCTGATGGTATATATAAATGTATATGCTGATGTAGATAAAGTCGTACATACTCATATATCTGGTAATATGTAGCATTGCAAACTGGCAAGCCAAGAATCAGTGTAATCTACAAGACAAATCTTTAAGTGTGAGGCTACATACCTCATACTTTTTTAAAAGTCAACGTTAACCTGAATTATTTAAAAAATTGTTGAATGAACATGGATGTGTAAATGCACATATACATACACACAGTTTGTCAGCATGGTAACTGAAATGCATAGTGATAAGGCTAGTATTTCTTTCTTGTCAAATATGAACTGTGGACCATCATGGGCTATTTGGGCAGTTGAGCATCCTATCAAATGACAGTACACGGTTTAGGAGCAGATTTACAGAACTGCATCAAAGTGTAACCTATTTATTGGGCTCAGAATGTAGAAAGCAATAGAAGAAGGAGAAGGAGGCAGGGGAAGAAAATCTAGCCAAGTGTTTCAGTGAACCAAGTAGATATAAACCAAGAAGCAATTGTAATTTTGTAGGTACCATCCCTCAACCTTCCTGTCTTGAAAGTGAATCAAGGAAATTCCAAAGGGTTTTCATTTATTTTCACCTATCAATATTCTCATATTCCTAGGTTAAAAAAATGGCTGACCTAAGCAAACCCTTGCTGTGGCTGTGAACTAGAACTTTTGCCTGCTGGGGAAGGTAGAGGAGTGATAGATTAGGTCAAGTGTTACTTTTCTTTGTGAAATTGAGATTTACTTTTCCTCCTTGATCTCATTTTCTCTCTACTTTTCTTTCACCTTTGCATGTTTCTAGTTGCTGCTCTAGGATTTTGAGGATGAGAGGAGAGATAGGTAATACAAAAAGGCTACCAAGTCCTATACAATTAATGAGATTAAATTACTTCATTTATGTTTGGTTATTTTAGTTTTGGATGTTGTGTGAAGTCATGACTCAGCTTTTACTTGAGTGATCTTTTTCAGGTGAGTCTCCACTTACTGGTTTATTCTCAGTTCCCTTTCTAGACCTTAATTCTGTAAGTCAATCCCATGCCGCACCTTTATGTTGAGCTATCTTTGCCTTTTTAATCTGGCCTCACACTACAACTCATTTCAAGAGGACTCAAAGTCTGGTGTCTGCTGCTAGCTTCCTACTTGACCAAAAGGACCAAACATCTTTCTGTCACTAGCAGTGCAAGTGAAGGGAGTTTGTTCCTCTGAATCTATCTTACTTCATTGAGTTAACTGAGGCACTGAAGCCACTGTGTGGCCTTTGGTGTTTTCATAGGAGAATCAGACATGATAATTTTTTTTTTTTTTTTTGTCATCTTCATAAACTCTGGGGGACGAAAACCAACATCTCTAAACATATCCTGTCCTCCGTTACTGTGAAAGTACCTAAGTGGCCAAATAATGCAGTGCAAATAAAATTTAATAAGGAAAGATCAGGCTTTTTTCCCTGCAGATTTTTTTTTTCTCCTCCAGTTGGCTTGTTTCAGCCAAACAAATAAAATATATGTCCTACTTGGCATCATGTTAGTTACATGGGGATGTTTCACTGTTACAATGTTATTAATAACAGAATTTTTAAAAAAGTGACATAATCAAAACATGCTTTAAAAACTACCTTACGCATCTTTACTGTTTCTATTGAAACTTTTTAATCAAAAACTGTGTTCTTGGTTAAAGTGCAGCAGTTGATTACCTTCAGTTTGTTGTTGGCATGCATTTTGAGCTTTCAAGTACAGAGACACTAGGATTTAAAAGAATTCTGTGATTAATCTTTGCTTCATCTGAAAAGCATTAAAATCTTTTTATATTTAAACATAATTTTTATATTATGCATTGTAATAGCAATTCATTTAAATGAAAGGACATATCCTGTGGTTAATAATCTATTGACAAAATTAATTAATAATAATAAAAAATTCTGTCTTGAAATGACTGATTGCTGATCTTTTTCATGTGAATTTAAATTTAGACAAAAATAGCTAAAGTACTCTCATGGTTTCAAATTACCTTGTTCAAATCTTTCCCATTAAAAAGAATGATATTTGCAAATCAAACAGATGAGTTTGCTGCTCACATAGATGAGTGCTCCTCCTCAAAAACTTATTATTATTATAACAAGATGATACTCTATTTAAACATGGCAATTGAATTTCACTTTTCATTTGCTTCTTTACTTGATAGGAAAATTTCACTGTTTTAGGCTTCTCTAGACTTCAAAAATTGGTAGAACTAAATTGCCTGAGGAAAATCACTCTGAAAGTAGTGGTTTTAGTTCTTTGTGCCCAAGAGCAATTTCTATGTCAAGTTAGACAAAAATCTGGACATTATAACTTATTCTGTGTTTTATTTAATTTTCAAAGTTATTAGTCAGATTATTGTCAGAATAATGTGGCAGGCACAACCTTATAGGAAATTTACCTTACCAGATACAAAATAATACATGAATTCATATATTTCATGACATATCATGAAAGAATCAATCTGATAATATTTAGAAGATAAAAATGACATGGAAAGTATCACAAATTTTCATAAGAATTTTACTGAAAAATTTCAATCTCTTCACAATATTAGTGATAGAAAAATTCCAGTTAAATCTCTACCAAAGTTAATCTAATCTGTTCACAAATTTACAGACAATACCCCGCATTTATTTTTAAAAAATCAAAAACAATTAAGTTTTAAATTATGCTCATTACAATGGACTCATCAAAATAAGTTAAATCTAGTCAGATTATATAAATAAAATACAGTTGATAGTTACATTACTTCATTTACTTTCAGTTTAGTTTTGAGTATTTATAATAGAGAGTCACAGAAGATATAATTGAATAGGTTAAGTAGGGTAAAACCTCAGGGGGCTCTACTGTCAGATTTAATCTAATAATAAGAATATAAACACCAATATTAATGATTTTTCAATTTAATGAAGATGAAAAAATGATACACATTCAATGGAAAACATATATTTACATTTCTGAGCTCTTATTTGCAAGTGATAGACATTGCAAGTCTCATAAGATGCAGTCAGTCTATTTCCAGTGCAGTCATTGAAGTAATTCTGGTGGTAAACAATTAATACGCTGCCATTCACTGTGTTGCCAAACTGTGACATTCAGTAATTAGGCGTATTGAATGAATTTTACACTTAATGTATTTTTTTCAGCATTAAGTTGTCACTTCAGTTACTATTATTTCTGAAATTTCAGGTGTGTGACTTCTAAGTTCTTTTATGTCTATTTCGCATGGACTTCTGAGTGGGCTGGAGGTCTGAGATTGTACTTTGCTTCTTTTTCTTGACTTTTCACTCTTTTCCTCTGAATCAGCAGATTGCTGAGTCTTGCATGTTTCCTGCATCTGCTGCCCACCCTGCATAGTGCAGGGGATTAGGGTAAGCTTGTGGGTTCCTCTGATCCAAGATTCTGTGGTTCCAGCAGTGGAGGAAAGGTACAGGATAGCTGCTTATAGATGTTCCCCTGAAAGGCAGTGGAATTCCGGGATGTGGTTCTTCTCATCTGGCAGGAGGCGGCTGGCTCACCAGGGTGCATGTTGTTTCTTTCTAATGAATTGACCACTGCATTTCTAAAATTGTGAAATGGCCAACAGAGGCCAGAGAGATATCTCTATGGGCTCCTGCTTGAAACAAACAGCTTCAGAAAACAAGTCTTGATTCAGGGCCATCCTTAAACTATTTTCAGTGTATCTTCAGTTCATCAAAATATAGTTCCACAGAGGAAGATCATCTGTATTGTTATTTAATTTTGTTAATGAAGAAATTGAGGTTTAGCCACACTAAATATTTTCTGAAAATGAAATGCTAATAAGTGACCAGTTAACATTTAGCACTTGCATAATTTATGAAGGTTAATGGTAAAAACAGCAAATACAATTTTCTTTGTAATATATCTTTTATGAATAAACTTTCACTTAATAAAAGTTGTTCTCTAAATCTCTATACATGATATTTCACAACAAACTACCACTTTTAAGAGAGAAAAGATGATTGAAATATAGGAATGTCTGGGTAAGAGTTGAAGACAAGAAGTATTACTGTTTTCCATGTCATCAAAAGCACGGCAGGGCAAATAGTCAATCCTCTAGCTCCGTGTCCAACATCCGGGACACCGGGCATGATGCCCCCAAGCGTTTCCGCTGCCCCTCTCATACAGCTTTGTTGGTGGCAACTCACGGGCCTCTATTGCCGCATGCTCTCCTTCTATTCATTATCTGCAGCCTGCCTCGCCAGCAGTCCACATTTTGGCATCTCTGTCTTTCTGGTGTCTGAACAATAGTTTCTTCACTGTCACTCTTTCCTTACATGTACCTCTCCTTGTTGAAGACTGTTTGCAATAACTGCAACCCTGTCACATATTGTGAGGCTTCCTAAACTTTCTTTTAAAAATCTCTGTGCAGGTTGCCATGATCTGCAAAAAAGAATTTGCATAAAACCAAGTTTTTCCACTTGTGTGAACCATTTGGATACTCAAAGGAACTGTAGCTGTAGGCACTTCTGATGGACTGACTGGGTGAATTTTCAGCAAAAAATTCCTGTGTGGAATTGGGGGAGTCAATGGTTCCAGGGCTCTCTTCTCAAAGGAAAGTTTTGAAAGACATTTATGTTATTCTATCCCAGGGGTCTTTTCCATTCCTGATATATCCTCAAAGCATCTTTCCTGTTGTCTTCATGTCAGTGCTTGTGGCCTGGCTGCCTACTGCCATCCCATGGTGTCAGTATCTTTAACAATCACACCACCTTGGTACCAATTTTGTGGCTAAACTGTAAGTTTTCTAATGTTTCACTCTGTTCCTCCTTGCTCTTGATTCTTACAGTAAATTTTACTAAAAGCAGTCAGTACTAGTGCCTAAATGCTGTGTTGCCTAAAAATTTCCCCTTCCCGGAAACAAGTCCAGCACCATTAAACTCACACCCTCAGTTTCAGAGCATCGGCAAACTGTATCCAGGTTCATTGGCGGTGTGTGATTTTGGTGGCTTGAATTCCTTTCACAGTAATATGTATGAAACTTCATGACCTCTGTCTGTGTTTCTGTCAGCATTCTGATCTCCTGAGCCCCTACCTGGATTACTCCTTAAGTTCTATTTAGAGCCTTGTACAATTTCTGTAGCTTGCAGGTTTAAATTCTCCAAATTCCTCCTTCTCAGTTCAGTTTACCTCAAGCTAATCTCGCTTATTATTCAGATTTTCTAACCCCCCAAAAAGATTTATTTTAACACAAGTCAAATTGGCGGTGGTTTTGTCAAAATTTAAGTGATAATGGTTATACCAATTTGAGAGATACGCCATTTTACTGAGGTTTGAGCTGTGCATTTAATAAATGTGTAACTAATTCTATGTTGCACTTAAAATAATTTTAGTCATTTGTATTTCAAAATATGAGCATATCTTATCAAAAACTGTAATTCCAAATTAAATTACAGTACTCTAAAAATTAGATTCGCACACTAACATTTTTACTTTTTTCATGCATATACACATTTCATATTAAGTAAAAGTTAGCATTCTTGGTTTAAGTGGAGTACTTATTTTGTCATCTAAAGGTCATTTAGGTACTGTGAAATCTGAAAATTTGATTTTAATTTTTCTACTAGTGGATCAGAAAGAAAATACTTAAACTTAAGAATTGCAAAGTCCAAAACTGCCCAGTCCTGCAAATGTTGAAGCATTGCTAGAGGCGTATTTAATGATATTTTATGGGAAATGTCAAGGTTTTCATGGTAGGTGAGCAGTTGGAAATACCTCCTCTATTGGATTTAGAGTAGTTCTTCGCACTGTAGTGCAACCAAAGCCTGGCACTGTGAGAAAAAGCAGCCATCCTAGAAGTAAGGTTGCTGAGTAGGATCAGCATGACTTTAAATATTTTATTGGCCAGAAAATAGAAACCATCTATGACCAAAGACAAAAGCAGATAAGTAAGATGGAAATAGAATCCAGGAAGAGGATTCAGGGTAGAGAGGGACGATTCTTCTTCTGTGTTATGCCTTGTGTCTAGATATGCCTCTCTAGTTTCATACAGTCATCGGTGGGGCTTTTGCAGAGATGGTTTAATTTACAATGTGTGACTCATGCTATGAGCTATGTAGGATTAAGGCAGCTAGGGTGTAGGGTGTGTTATTACTAAATTACTAAATCAGTCAACAGTTTTAGCTCAACCTAATCCCGTTAACCTGGTTACAATATAAGGGACAGAAAAAGGGTTGTCATGTCACTTGCTTGCTTTGCTTCCTTCTGCCCTCTATGAACTGCTTCTCATTTGTAATGCCTGTCTGTTACGCTACCCTGCCTTGGAGTCAGCTGATTATGAAATGAAATCTCTTCAAAATGTCATCTAAATAAACTTTTCCTTCTTTAACTTTGGGTGTCGAATATTTTGTCTCAGCAAGTAGAAAAGTAACTATGACATGATGCATAGCGCACACACATGCACAAACTCACACATATGGACTCCAGCAAATACCTGGATCTATAAACACTCATGTAAGTGCTATCTATCAGTTGGAAGAAAATTTTTCCTATGTCCTTATCAATACTAATTTAAAGAAGTTCTCTAAAGACATCATTAAACATTTTGTGGTTCAAAAATAGGAAGAATGTTTAAAGTTAAAAAACAATACACTAACAGACAAACAGCTAATACTTCGCATCATAATATTCCCCTTTCTTCAAACACAATGTTATTGCTTTCTGAAATAGTTCTGGAATTTCTCTTTTGTATTTTTAATTGATCCTTTGTGGCTGATTCAATAACTATATTGATTCAAAATGTTTAGCTTTCATGATTATTTTAACTTAGGGAAGGAAGAAACTGTAAGGCTCAAAATCTGGTAAACAAGGCATGTAAGAGAACACATGGTAATTATTTTAAGGGCCTGCCTTTCTTGTGGGTAGTACTAGCCAATGACATTCACTGCATTTTAAAAAATCACACCTTCTAAAGAAACTCACAAAAGAAGATTGCCTGAACTGCTTCAGAAGGTTAAAGAATGATGGGATATGTGTGTTACAAGTAAGTAGTAGTATTTTAAGAAAGATTAATGACAACGTATCTTTTATTGCAACAAATGCTTTAAAATTATAGATTGATCACTTTTATATTCTCTGGACTAGACTGATTATAGTATCTAGAATAAATGCAAGAAAAATGAGATAAACAGCACTGTTGCATAATTCTGTCTTTTATAGTTTCACATCTCAGCCAATTTGTAGTTTTACTAATAAAACCCAGGTACATACAGGTTCAACCATAGTAACTGCACATTTTGAGCTGCCAAATGTTAGGAAAATTGAGCCAATATATGCTGCTACTACTTTTTACTATAAAGATATTTATTGCAAAAAATATATCTATTTCATATATTTTTCAACAGAACTGACCAATTATTAGAGCGGTTTGTGAAATGATCCAAACAATACAGGTTGTCATCACCCAATACTGAGAATACACTAACACTGTTATATCAATGATGCGTTTACAAGAGAATCCAAAGATTATCAGCCATTGATCTTACACAAAACATGTGAATTGTTCCAATAAATACTCAATGGCAGTATTAAAAAAAAAAAAACAGTCCAGTTTTCTTAAATAACTCATTTCTAAAATTCTGTAAAAATGTACAGTCTATCAAAATATCTCATTCAAATGTGGACTTTTGTTTTAAGAAAATATTTATTTTATATTCTTAGTGAGTGAAAACACTGAAGGCATTTCAATTACATAACGTGACAGAGTATCATACCATTTAAAATGTTAGCTACAAAGATAAAGACTTTGGAAAATAGCTATTGAGATGTCATCTTAGAAACAGAGCTAGAAATGTAATGGAGTATTTGAGTGGGGGCATTAAGGAAGAATCACATGGGGAACTTATCAAAAGTGGCATACTTCAGTTTGCATCCTTCTGACACCAATTAAATGAGACTAAGAAATTTTCCTTGATATCGGAAAGTTGTAAATATGTTAGAGGGATAAAGATTCATTTTTATTTTAGAATAGATTAAACCATGTTAAACAATATAGCATAAGACACTATATTTTGAGTAAATTGTGTATGGATTTTCTTTCGTATTTACTTGTGTAGAAATTTTCCTGATTCCCAAACTTCTATATATCACCTTTCTTAGCAGCAAAGTGATTATTTATTAATATTTTATTTATTTAAATATTAAGGATTCTGAGGTTGATTTTTTTTAATTTTAAAGAGAATAAAACAAAAGAGAACAGAACTAGGTAAATCGGAACAAAACAATGCAACCAACACAGCAATTCACAACCAGACAACCGTTACCAACAGTAGCTACCATAATGCCTCCTTTCTTCGAAACAGTTGAGCATAATTTCACACACAGTAGTATCAAACATAGCAAAATAATATAAAGCCATTCAAGAAAATGAAAGCATTACAGGACAGTCAAAACCGAATAACCAATAATGAAAAATGGCTACTATAATATCTCATTATCCTTAAAAAAATGTTATACTATCACACATATTAAAATCCAATGAGAAACAGCATGGTAGAACTAATGGAAAGGAAACACAAAATCATGGTAGGACTTCAAATCAAGATGATATTAAATCAGCAATGGCTGTCAAAATGTACCATCACACATAATAAAATCAAACAAAACAGAATAACATCATCCCAACCAATAAATAAAAATATT